GAAAGGAAGGAAATACTCAAAAATAAAATTAGTCTTTAGTGAAAACAGACCTAAATTCATATTAAGAGTTTGTAGAATATCAGCTAATGCTCAAACATAGCCTGTGAATAACAAATGCAGTAAGACAAGAGAAGGAAATAAAAGTTATAAAAAGAAACAGGAATGGAAGAAATAAAACTTTCTTCTATTTGCAGATGACATGATTGTCTGCAGAAAATCCCAAAGAACTGACAAATTTTAAGAACCAATCAATTATAGCAAGATTGCAGGATACAAGATAACACACAAAGGTCATCTGCTTTCCTCTATATCAGCAGTAACACTAGGAATCTGAAATTAAAAACATATACTATTCACATTAGGGTCAAAAATATTTTTTAAAACTTAGGTATAAACCTAACGAAGTATATGCCTTATATAAGGAAAACCACAAAGCTCTAATGAAAGACCTAAAAAAGGTAAATGTAAAGATATTCCATGTTCATGAAAGTGAAAACTCAATATAATTAAGAAACCAGTTTTTCTAATGTGATCTACAGATTGAAACTACAACTGAACTCAAACATCCCCAGTAGTTGGAAATTAACATATTAATTCTAAAGTTAGTATAAAAAGGCAAAGTACCCAGAATAGCCAAAACAATACTGAAGAAGCACACAAAGTTAGAAGACTGACACGGACTTTAAGGCTTACTATAAAGCTACAGTCATCAAGATGGTAAAAATTGACTGATACAAACAGAATTAACTGACCTTTGAAAAAGAAGCAAAGGTAACTCTATGAAGAAAAGATAGCCTTGTCAACAAATGCTAAAACAATTTAAACATTCATATGCAAAAAAAAGAAGGAAAGAAAAAGAATTTAGACACAGACCCTATATTTCAAAGAAATTAACTCAAACCAAATGTAAAATACAAAGAACTATAAAACTTCTGGAAGGAAACATAGGTGAAAACCTAGAAGATCTTGGATTTGGTGTTGAAGTTTATTTATTTTTAAGATTTTCTTTGTCAGAGAGAGAGTGTGAGAGAGTGAGAGAAAGAGCACAAGAAGGGGAAGCTGCAGGCAGAGGGAGAAGCAGGCTCCCCACTGAGCAAGAAGCCAGATATGGGGCTTGATCCCAGGACCCCTAGGATCATGAGAGGAAGGCAGATGCTTAACCAACTGAGCCACCCAGGCATCCCAATGATGAAGTTTAGATATAACACCAAAGTCACAATTCATGAAAGAAATAGCTGATAAACTGAGCTTTTTTTTAAATGAAAAAACTGGGGACCTTAATGAAAACTATGGGACTTTAGTTAATAATACCATATTAATATTAGTTCATCAAATTCAACAAATGTACCATACTAAGGGAAGATGTTAATAATAGGGGAAGTTGTATGTATGTGCATGGGGGGTGGTTATAATAGGGGAACTCTCTTTTATGCTTAATTTTCCTGGTAAAAAATAGATCTACTTTAGCCAATTTACTAATGAAATGGAGTATAGTTTTAATTTGTATTTAAACATCTTTATAAGTGTTTACTAACTCTCTTTCCTTTTTTCCTGAGCCTTCTTCCATGCTTTTACATACAAACTTCTACAATAAAGTTCAGAATAAATCCAGGCATTAACTGCTCAAGTTATATTTGCAGGCTTGACACTTTGATGTACACTTCATTGAGAGCCAACTTCTCTGTTGTAATGCCACTTTGTTTCAAGAGGCATAGTTTAGGATGGAATAGTAGGTCTAAATGTACTGTTTTCCTAGATCTCATTTTCTCAGATTATCACTATGAGCTTCTTGAAGAATTAAAGTACTACTTAAAAGTGTTTTTCAAATATTTGTATGAAGATGTATTTTCCAAAGATAATAAAACAACGAAGACTGAAAAAAAATTATCCTATAGTGAAAAAAGATCTAAATTTATATTAAGGGAGTTTACAGAGTGTCAGTTTTTATGATCCAAGCTTAGATACTGGTCTGAAATTTTCATACTGCTAAGATAAAGAAATTCTGTAAGAGTCTAGACAGGGAAAAAAATCACACACACACAAACACACACACACACACACACACACACACACTCAAAACAAGTTAGCTGTCACGGCTATCAGTGACATTCACTAAATATTTCTGGTTAACTTCTCTTCTAGTCACCTAGGCGGAATGTACTTCTTCACTCTCTTGAAACTAGGTGTAACTATATGACACTTGGCCAGTGAACTGTGAGGAGAGGTGCTCTGTTATCATCTCTGAGTAGGAACTCTAAAAAGAGTATATGTCCATGATTCATCATGTTGCCTTTTCCTACATCAACACTTGCTGCTTCACCCTGTACTTTTATGTTTCGGAGGTGGCTACTTTCCTTAAACCTCATGAACCAACTACTGGTAGCTTCAAATTTTTCTTCTGTAGCTTCCTCCCCTCTCAGCCTTCACAGAATTCAACAGAATTAGGGCCTTCCTCTGGATTAGGCTTTGGTACAAGGGAATGTGTAGGCCACTAAAACTTTCTCCGTATCAGCAGTAAGGCTGTTTCATTTTCTTATTGGTGGATTCACTGGAATAGCACTTTGAATTTCCTTCAAGGACTTTTCCTCTACACTCACAGGTTGGCTGCTTGGTGTTAGAGGCCCAGCTTTTGGCTTACCTTGGCTTTTGACCTGTCTTCCTCACTAAACTCAATCATTTCTAGCTTTTGATTTAAAGTGAGAGATGTGTGAATTTTCCTTTCGCTTGAACACCTAGGAGCCATTATAGAGTTATTAATAGGTCTAAAGTCAGTATTGTTGTAACTCAGGGAATAGGTAGGCCCAGGGTGGGGGTGGGAGATGGGGGAGTGTCCAGAGAGTGGAACAGTCAGAACCAATACATTTATCCATTAAGTTTGTCATCTTATACAGGCATGGCTCCTGGCACCCCAAAACAATTACAGCAGTAACATTAAAGATCACTGATCACAGATCACCATGACAAATATAATAATGAAAATGTTTGAAATATTTTGAGAATTATCAAAATGTGACATAGAGACAAAATGAGAAATGCTATTAGAAAAATGATGCCTGTATACTTGCTCGATAAAGGGTTGCCAAAAGCCTTTTAATTTGTAAAAAATGCAATTATCTGCAAAGTGCAACAAAGCAAAGCAAAATGAAGTATGCCAGTACAAACCAACACAAGTATTTTTTTCCTCTTCCTTTTCTGGACTACAGACAAATGTTTCTTTTCACTGATGCATAATAATTATGTAGATGAATGTACTAGCATTTATTAACCAGTACTCTACTGATGGGCATTTATGTTGTTTCTCATCTTCCACTATTAACAAATGGTGTTGTAGTGAATAACTGTATATACATCATTTCACAAGTTAAATTCCTAGAAATACTGCTGCTGAGTCAAAGGGCATATGACTTTGGCCTAGTTAGATACTGTCTCTTATTCCAGTTATGTCAATTTATATTACCAGCAGGACACATGTCTATTTCTTTATAAGTTCAAAATTTTAGTGTTATCAATTTTACAGGTTTGTCAACCTGGTAGACAAAACTGCTAATGTTTTTAGTTAATTTACTTAATTATAAGTAAACTGAACAAGTTTTAAGTTCAAGACAGATCTGTATTTAATTTTATGTGACCCTTCTGTGCATCTCCTTTGCATAGTGTTTCTACTATTTAATAGTATTATTGTTAGAAATTTAAAATATTCTAATAGCTCAAAGGCATACCAGTCACATGGTTTTCCTTTCAAAACCATCCGAACACTATTGAGGTCAAACACAAAAGAAAATCATACTAAGGAACTCAAGAATAAAGAAATATGGGTGCCTGGGTGGCTTATTCATTAAGCATCTTTCTTCAGCTCAGGTCATGACCCCAGGGTCCTGGGATCAAGCCCCACATGGGGCTCCCTGCTCAGTAGGAAGTCTGCTTCTCCCTCTCCCATTCCCCCTACTTGTGTTCCCTCTCTCCCTCTCTCTAAAATCTTTTTTTTTTTTTAAAGAGAGAAATAGTGGTTGTATAAAATGACTGAGCATAAGACTGAATCAAATTAAATATAGTCAAAACTAAAAAATTATTGTAAATAATATAATTAATGTAAAATATTCTTTAAAGATTAAAAAAGAAATTACTTAGATTTATATCCCCATTAGAAATGGGTGATTCAATAAAACTGTAAAGTCCTTATTTCCACACCTTACCTAATATATAGTCAACATTCATTGCTTTAAAAACAATCTTACTTCTAATTTATTTAACTTTACTTAGTATATAATTTTACTTCACGTAATAAAAAAAAGCATGTTAGTGAGAAATCTAAATTCACTGCATGGAATATAGCAGAAAAGAGCTTTTATACAGCCCAACTATTGAAAATGAATAGTAAATATATTCAATGTAACAGTCATAATTTATCTCATATATTGAATAAAGAATGTGAAAAGAGAAAATGAGGAGAAAAATCAAGAGTATCTTTTTGAGGTAGCTAAGAAAATAAAGAGGGAAAGTAGAAAAGAATTCTAGAAGATGTGACTGTACATATGAAAATTACTTGAGTTAGGGTTAAACAATAAACAATAAAACAGGGGAAAAAAGAATGAATGTCATGACAAGTTACCTAATTTATAAACAGAAACGATGTCTACCTTGCAGAGTTAGTGTAAAGAAGCAATGATAATACAGATAAAAAGATCAAGGTAAGGTGCAAGAACACAGAGAAAAGGCACAAGGAATATGCTCAATAAATGCTAATAATGCATAAATTCCTCATGGGCAAAAGGCCATGATGGAAAAAGCAGCAACTGAAAATTTGTTACTGTGGTGAAAAACGATATGCTCAACTCAAATATACCACCCTAATTTTTAAGGCTTTGCACGTCTTCTATGATTTAAAGAAAATGAAAAAAGGGAAATTAATGAGATATTGAATACAAAGTATTTTCAATACTGTCTATAAGAATCATCACATCCTACACAAACAAGAAAATACCAGAAATCAATAGTTTTACCGTGGTTTTTCCTGATCCTCGGGGTCCAATAATGAGTACAGAATTACTTTCTCCATGGATAGCAGTTCTTTTTAGCAGCTCAATTAAGTGTCTGGAATGACATAAAGAAGCCAAAATTTAAAAAGGAAGCTGGAGGGGTGCCTGGGTGGGTTAAAGCCTCTGCCTTCGGCTCAGGTGATGATCCCAGGGTCCTGGGATTGAGCCCCACGTCGGGCTCTCTGCTCAGCAGGGAGCCTGCTTCCCTTCATCTCTCTCTGCCTGCCTCTCTGCCTACTTATGATCTCTGTCAAATAAATAAATAAAATCTTAAAAAAAAATAAAATAAAAAATAAAAAGGAAGCTGGAATAATATACTAGGTAATACTATTTAAAAGCTGAATTTGAATATGCACAGAAAATAGGCATTCCCTTTTTCTTTCTCTCTGGGCACTTGACTTATACTTTATGTAGCTGTATACAGAAAACCACAGAAGAGAGGGTAGGTCAATATGGATTCTCTGGAAACCTCAAGAGAAAACCAAGTAAGTTTGAAATGTCTTGGCTTTATGATGTCATAAGGCAAGGGACAACAGTGGCAAATCTTGGGAGCTTTCATTCCACAACACGCTGTGGAGTATCAGAGCTCAGAATTTTCTCCACATACCAGCTGACAGAAGCAACATAAGATTGAAAGGTAAGGTGCATTCTCATTATGACAACAGTTATAGCTGCTCTTCCTTTAAATTTTTATTGTTTCTATAGAAGAAGAAGAAATTTTTTATCTCTGTAAAAATGTTTGTTAGCATTATTCAAGATAAAATCTGTGTGGTTAATTTTTACAATACCTAACGGCATCTTTAAGTAAGTTCATAGTGGACAAAAGGATAGCTAAACTTACTTGTATTGTACTTGTACTCCAAATAAGTTACTATGTGGGCTCTTATGACAAAATCTTTCCCGTAAAATTCTTTGTACCTGATAAAAAGAAAGTGAATAAATATAAATAAAAATGTTACACATGAAATAAAAATGAATGAGAATATACATTTACAGCAGTCAGAATTAGGTATTAATGAGTCTATTCAACCCTCCCTAAATAACTTGTCTTCACGAGTTCTGGTATTACTTTCATGAGTTGTAAAACTAACGGTTCTTTCAACCTATCTCAAGTCCCAGAGGAAGGATGAGAATTTACCTGTGAGGTTCAATAGAAAGAATGAATTACTTTAGCCACATCAGCAATTTGAGGGTTCTTTTACATTGCGTGTGAATAAATGAACACTTCACTTTATATGGTACATACCAGCCAAGGAAAAAAGGAGATAATGTAATAATGTAATCTCACCTAATAATGTTCATGAACCATACGTCAATCTCTAGAGACCAAACAAATCTAAACTGGCTTAGCCCAAGGCCTATCTATCTGCACCTATCATAAAAGTCAGGATTCTGAGAAAATAAAAGTTTAAAAGTTCATATAGTTATTGAGGACCTACTAGAAGCAGAGTAAGATACTCTTAAAAAAGTATGATCCATGCCTAAAGAAATAGTGCAAATAAATTGGAAAGAAATGACACACTGAAAAAAAGTAGTAATTTAGCATATAAGGAATTGCTCAACTACATGGAAGAAATTAGATTCATCTATAAGATGAGGAATCACTGGAATGAATTAAGAAAAAAAAATTTTTTTTAAATAGGTGATTCTTTTTTTTTTTGAAGATTTTGTTTATTTATTTGACAGACAGAGGTCACAAGTAGACAGAGAGGCAGGCAGAGAGAGAGAGAGAGAGAGAGAGAGAGAGAGGAGGAAGCAGGCTCCCTGCTGAGCAGAGAGCCTGATGTGGGGCTTGATCCCAGGACCCTGAGATCATGATCTGAGCCGAAGGCAGAGGCTTAACCCACTGAGCCACCCGGGTGCCCCAAGAAAAAAAATTCTTATAAATTTTGAGTTTGCCTTAGAATAAAGGGCTTAGACTGAGTTGTAAAATATTATGTCAGATAATCTAGCACATTTTTTAAAAAGACAGACCATTATAGGCATTTCCTTTTCTGCATCTGCTGCTAATACAGAAACCTTTCAAAGACAAAAACCTTAGGAAGCTATTTGAGATTTGGTCCCACCATTGGAAACAAGAAGCTTCCAAGATAATTTGCTTTTCTCAGACTGACAGCATGGGACTGATTCTTCATGCACCAAAAAGGTAGAATCTGAGTTCTGTTTATACATACCAGAGGCTAAGCAAAGCAAATTATTCAGAGCAAATTATTCAAAGCAAATTATTATATAAGAAGGGGAAAGAATTAAGAGGAGTGATGCCAGAAGAACCAATTATGTGGATCTTAAAGTTAGCCTTTCCTAATCTTAATTTTTTTCATTTATAAAATAGAGACAATAATAGTTTTCTGGCAGGCCTGTTCTCAAGATTAAATAAGGTAGTTGTCTTTAACATAACTTAAGTATTTGTATAGGTAATAGCTAATACATATAAAACACTTAAATGAGCATATATAATCATAATACTACTTATATGGTGTATTTCTCTACCTAGATAAGATCATTAGAAATCAAATATAAATATCCTTTTCTTTTTCAAACTTCAACTTGTCTATTAGAGGCAACAACTATGTATAAAATCTAAGAGATAAAGTGAAGTGAAGCTGTAGTGAACAATGAACAGTTCAAAAAATCTCAAAGTGATCTGAGAGGAAGGTTAAACACATATACATGTATACAGAAATTAAGCTGTATGTGGAAGATACTTACTTTACTAGGATATGTAAATCATACTTAAGCTAAAATTCTTTCATGAAACAGAATTAAACCTTTTCCTTCCAGAAAGAAAAAAAAAAGTAAGCGATGAAGGGATGCCAATAACATACATTTAGTTTTGATTTAAAAAAACTATAGTTCTGGTCAATCAAGATAAATAGAAATACCAGGACAGAGTTATTATACCCATTCCCTATCTTAAGACACAGACACATAGATATATGCTTAGCACTTCGAATACTGTATGCACTTAAGATAATATTAAAAGTTTGTGATAAAAACACTCAACATACTAGGAAAAAAGGGCAACACATCCTCACCCCAATAAAGGGCATCTATAAAAACCTATATCTAACATCACTTCAACGGTAAAAGACTGAATGTGTTTCCCCGAAATCAAAAACAAAACAAGAGGGACGCCTGGGTGGCTCAGTTGGTTAATCAGCTGCCTTCGGCTCAGGTCATGATCCCAGCGTCCTGGGATTGAGTCCCGCGTCGGGCTCCTTGTTCTGTGGGGAGCCTGCTTCTCCCTCTGCCTCTGCCTGCCACTCTGTCTGTCTGTGCTCGCTCGCTCTCTCTCTCTGACAAATAAATAAATAAAATCTTAAAAAAAAAAAAAACAAAACAAGAATGTCTGTTTTTCAGTTATTACTCAATATTGTACTGAAAGTTCCAGCCAGGGCAATTAGACAATTAAAACAAAAATAATAAAGTCACTATACTGAAAAGAAAGTTAAACTATGTTTGCCGATGACATGATCTTATATAAAAAAATAAAAACTATGAGAACTAGTAAGTCTGGTCAGGTTGCAGGATACAGATTAATATATAAAAATCAACTGCATTTAGATATGCTAGCAATGAACAAATAAAAAAGTTAAAACAATTCCATTTATAACACAATAATCATAAGAAATAAAATAGGAATAAATTTAACAAAAGAAGTAGAGAACTCTGAAGTAAACTGAAATTAGGACACATTTGGGAAGACAGGAGTAAAGTTAGGATTCCAACTGTCTAAAGCCTTAAAAAGGATGAAAGTAGTGAAGAGTCTCTCCTTGAAAATATAAAGTGTTTCATAAGTGTTAAGGAAAGAATTCAAATTAAGAAGATAATTATTTCTCTGATCAGTTTTGATTGATAATAGACTTTGAGGTTAATGAAAATATATACTAACCTGTGAAAGGTACTCTGCATGTATTAAGTTGTTACTCTTTGATTTGCGACTGCTCATTTTAACAAACTGAAATCCTTAAAAAAAAAAAGCATGAATATAAAACATTACAGGCTTGAAGAGATTAAGAATTTAGTATTACAGAATCAAAATAAACACAACTTTTAAAACACAAAAATTCCAATTTCTCCAACTTCAAAAACTCACCAATCTCTTGTAGTAATCATTTCACAATATACATAAATCAAACTGTCGTGCTGTATGTAAATCATTTCTCAATAAAACTGAAAAAAATCTAAACAATTCTCTAAGTCTGGCTTATTTGACATTCCCATACCACATGGTATATGGCTCTTACAGACAACTAACTCCTACCTTTCGCTTCAATCTACTATTCACATTCCCTTCCTTAACTATTTTTCTTTCCTTAAAACTATACGCTTCCTTTATACAGAATGTTTCCCTCTCCATCCATCCCACAGGATCATAACCTTCCAGAAAGCCTTGGCTTTCTTGCTCTACTCATCATACATACACCGTCATTAAAGGGTAGGTAATGCCTCTTCCATGAACTTCCATAATTGCTTTATTTCCCTTCATCCATAATCAAATTATATTAAAAAGACTGTTCACTTAACTACCAATATCCCCAAACCATTAAAATTCCAAGCATTTTAGCACAATATCCAAAACAAAATTGGCAGTGATAATGTGAATGGAAAATATATATACTAATAAAATAAAGAAAAATTTGTAAAATTCTTTATGGCAATATAGTCACAGATAAATACATTTGGCTAAAAGATCTAATTTTCTTTTTTCTTTTTTTTTTAAAGATTTTATTTATTTGACAGAGAAATAGAGAGCACAGGTAGGAATGCAAGCTGGTGCAACCACTCTGGAAAACAGCATGGAGGTTCCTCAAAATGTTGAAAATAGAACTACCCTATGACCCAGCAATTGCATGGCTGGGTACTTACCCTAAAGATACAAACGTAGCGATCCGAAGGGGCACGTGCACCCGAATGTTTATAGCAGCAATGTCTACAATAGCCAAAGTATGGAAAGAACCTAGATGTCCATCAACAGATGAATAGATAAAGAAGATGTGGTATATATACACAATGGAATACTATGAAACCATCAAAGAAATGAAATCTTGCCATTTGCGACGACGTGGATGGAACTAGAGGGTATCATGCTTAGCGAAATAAGTCAATCGGAGAAAGACAACTATCATATGATCTCCCTGATATGAGGGAGAGGAGATGCAACATGGGGGGTTAAGGGGGTAGGAGAAGAGTAAATGAAACAAGATGGGATTGGGAGGGAGACAAACCATAAGTGACTCTTAATCTCACAAAACAAACTGAGGGCTGATGGGGGGAGGGGGGTTGGGGGGGTGGGATTATGGACATTGGGGAGGGTATGTGCTATGGTGAGTGCTGTGAAGTGTGTAAACCTGGCGATTCACAGACCTGTACCCCTGGGGATAAAAATATATTATATGTTTATAAAAAATAAAATTAAAAAAAATTAAGATAATTTTTTAGGCAGGCAGAGAGAGAGGGAGAAGCAGCCCCCCGCCCCCACCCCGAGCTCGGATGCGGGGCTGGATCCCAGGACCTTGGGATCATGACCTGAGTGAAGGCAGCCACTTAACCGACCAAGCCACCTAGGCACCCCAAGATCTAATTTTCTTAGCACTGATTTCCAATAGCAATCTTTACTAGTCAGGTAATAAGAACTTAAGCACTGTTTGCTTATATAGGAACTGTTACACGTACTTTGTATTTAACTCATTTAATAACTTATTAACTCATATTTATTAATTTTACACACTGACAATTAGATGCCAACCCTTGGAATGCTGTTTTATTCTTCTCTGGAAATGCTAACAGGATAGCATCTGAGCAAGGCTTTGACAGATTGAGAGCAAGCAAATCTGTCTCCCCCTAACTGTATAAGCCATGTAGCCAGGGCCCAAAGTTCAAAGGGCTTCTGGTTCCAAGATCCGAAATTGGAACTCAAGAACAGAGTATTCAACTGGTTTATTCTTTAAGAATATTTTTTCTTAGGAGAAAAGCAGTCTTCTCAGCTGCCTTTGGGCACCTTCTAGGAGCCCAATGTCTATGCAAGCCACTTTGAGAATCTTTACATTAACCATTTTTTACTTTATTCTTTTTTAATTATTTCTCCCCTTAAATAAAAGTTGCATATGGCGAAGGGGGACCCTTTTAACAACATGAAATGATATCCTCACTGTGGCTTAAAATACCCTAACTGTGATAAAAGGTCTATAAATCAACATCTGAACTCACAAAAAGTCAATTACTGTTAGACAAAGAGCATCAAGTATTTATCATTTTATAACTGATTGACAGCTTGCTACCAACACATTAAAAATGATTAGTAACATAGTCTCCTTTCTGGAATTAGGGTAGTATATTTCATCTTTTATTTGCTACCTCCAATTACGACACGGGGTTTAAGAGGAATATTTCAAATAATATTAAAATTACTAGTCAATATCTACACTTCTACTTCTAACATAATTCTGCCATGACTGGAATAGTCTCCCTACTTACTTCAAACTTGAAATTACTAGAGGCATTTTAGCATGTCTGAAAAAGCTGGCAATACAGACTCTAAATCTTTAACTGAATATATGAAAAGGTTTTCCTTTTTTTAAATTAAACCAGAAAAAAAGTAAAAGCAAAGGAAGTGAAGATGAAGACACCAAAATTTTTCTAGAAAGTTTTAGTTTTTCTTAGAAAGTCACAAGTGATGAAATTAAAAAAAAAAAAAAAATTCAAATCAGGATTGTAAAAAGCCCAGGGGAAAAAAAAACTGTATATCAAGTTTAAGATAAATGCAAATTCTTAAAGAGTAAGGAAAAGCACAACTAGAGAAATGAGACTGATGGTACTACTATATTTAAGAGCTTTGTTATCAGCAGGGCCCAGATTTGGGTTCTTGTTCTGTGGAGTCACCTTCACAAATTAACTTTCCTAAGCTCCAGTTTTCTTCTCCGCAAAATTTGAGATAAAGCTATTAACTAATTCATGGGTATTGTGGGGGTTAAATTAAATGGTTTACCTGATATGCAATGCTGTCAAATCCCACGCACAGCAGTACCCTTTATCACATTACACTGGAGAGAAGAACCAAGAGGAAGATGGGGAAGTGGGGGTAGCAAAAGCACGGATTCTTGTTCTAAATAATTTCCTTGTGAGTACTACTTTGTCAATGCAATAAATACCAAGTGTAAATTCAACTGAAGTACTCCAGAATTATGAAAGAATACTTCAATGGTATACATTCACTGAGTTCTCATCAATATAAAAAAATAGTTTTGAATATTGGTAATAAAAAGAAATGATGGGTAGATCAATCTACAGTTACATGGATCTCAAAGACCTCAAATTACTAATGGTAAGAATTCAATACCTGGAAGAGATGATGATTGCTTGGCAACATACCCAGAGTTTCTGATTTAATAGGTTTAAGGTAGCAATTGACAATTTGCATTTCTGATAAATTCCCAGATGATGCTCCTACTCCCAGTCCCAGAACCATACTTCACCAGCTACGGAGAAAATTGTCAATTACTTTTCATTCCACACCAAACCTCATAAAACAAGATACCAAGAAGATAAAGAAATCCATTGGTATAGATACCATCTCTTCAATCCAAGCTAAGCCTAAAGGTAAACAGTATCTAAGGATTATACTGAGGTAAACAGTATGTAAGGATCACTGAAAAAGGAGAATGTGGCACAGGAAAGATACCATGAAGCCAAAGGACTTTCATTATGGTAAATAAAATAAGCTAAAAGGCTACCTATTAGAAAACATCACAGAGCATAAGCCACAAGCAGAATTAAAAAGTCAGAGAAGTTTTTCTTTCTCCAGTTACTGAAAAGTAATAAAGGTTTTGTCCTTTCATCTGATAATTCAGAGAGCCTTCAGAGGATAGTCATATAAACTCCTTAAACGGGGCACCTAGGTGGATCAGTCGTTTAACTGTTTGCCTTTGGCTCAGGTCACGATCCGGGAGTCCTGGGATGGAGCCTCACACGGGGCTCCCTGCTCAGCAAGGAGCCGCTTCTCCTCTCTCTGCTGCTCCCCCTGCTTGTGTTCTTTCACCCTAAGAAATAAATAAAATCGTTTAAAAAAAACTCTAAAAAGGGGCGTCTGGGTGGCTCAGTGGTTAAAGCCTCTGCCTTCAGCTCAGGTCACGATCTCAGGGTCCTGGGATTGAGTCCCGCATCGGGCTCTCTGCTCAGCAGAGATCCTGCCTCCTCCTCCTCTCTCTGCCTGCCTCTCTGCCTACTTGTGATCTGTCAAATAAATTTTTAAAAAAATCTTAAAAATAAATAAATAAATAAATAAATAAATAAATAAATAAAACACTCTAAAAAATTTTAAAACAAGAGTGAAATAAAGAAACAAACACTAGCCTGGGTGTTTTATATTTATATGTCATCCCCTGATCAAAAACACCACAAAAAAAAAAAAAAATCTTCTTTCCTGCAAAGAATTATTAAATTGTTTTGATATATGTGTTTTAACAGCACAGAAAACAATGCTTTTATGAACAGATTTTGATTCATCAATATTTCTTGGGAATAATTAAAATCCCTAGACTTAAAAAAAAATTAAGCAAAAGCAAAAATTAGTATCTAAAATAGTTACCAACTTTAGAAAATAGTTACCAACTTTAGAAAATAGTTATCTCAAAGTGGTGTCAAATCACATGAAAGGTGCCTAATATAAAAAGAACAAAAAAGATGTGCTTGATTCAGAAGATGAGGACAAACATTTGCTCTGTTAAAGCCAGCTAACTAATGGTGCTAACTGAAGATTATGGTTTCCCAATTCCAATCATAAGATGAAAAAAGCACTAATGGCATGGCATTGTTGGACAAGCTGTGTCAGTTACTGTGATGCCAAGTGGGTGGTCGGTGGTAAAGAACACGTAGTATTTAGAAAGACATGAGCAAAATGGATGAACGCACATTAAAAAAAATAATAAATCCCAGGTCAACAGACCTGAATTTAAAGGTGTAGAAAC